AAAAAAAAAAAAAAAAAAAAAAAAAAAAAAAAAAAACAAAAATACAAAATAAAAAATTTGGAGAAGACAGGGAGGAGCAAAGTTGAGGGAGAAGAGAATCAGTTTTGTCGTAATTTCTTAACGACGACGAAGGCCGCCACCGCCACGGCGGCGATGACGCCGGAGACGATGAACGTCGTCTTTAATGTCTGCATTGTATCCTTCTTCTTCGCCTGCTTTCTTTCTTCTTCCACAGTTGCTTTCCTCTTCGCTTGCTCCTGTCAGATTTTCCACAAATTATTTATTTCAGTTTATAATTTTTGAAATAATAATTATTTTTAAAAGAAAAAATCTAAATAAATCTAAAATTTTACCTTATCTTCCACAGATGCAGCAACTTGAGAGGAAATGGGATCGACCGTTACATGCTGGTTATGGCCGGGATGTAATTCTCTGTCCACGTCTACAGCCGGAAACCGGGAACCTGCACCACCGGTAGCTCCTCCATCTCTGCCTGGGCTCGCCATTCTTTTTCTTTATTTTTCCTTTTTTTTTTTTTTTTCTTTTTCGGAGTTGCAGAAAACAGAAACAAGAAACAAATTCATCGGCTTAGGTATTTTATTCTCTTCCAAGTGGAACAGTTACTGTGACACGTGGAGACAATCTACTGGTTCAAATTTCGTTAACGACCAACCACGAATGACTTTCTTTTATTAACCGTCAACGGCCCGGGAATGGCGTCCGGATTTCGTTGTTTGCCTGTTTTTCCTTGGAAAATTTGAGTTTTTTTTTTTGTAATATTTACTAAGAAAAATTAAAAAAAAAAATTATGATAATTTTTCTATAATAAATTCTGGGTAATACATAAAATCGATAAATTTCTTGTTTGTTAGCATACTCTATTCCCACGTCCTCATACAACTCATAATTTAACAGAGTAGATTGGTTTAGATACAGAGTCGTAATTGATATATTTGAAGATCATATCAATTGTTCAACCCAATTCAATCACTAAATCGAATAAAGTCGACAAAATTTATCTGGATCGAACTATATTTTTAGCTTTATATTCTAAAAAACAAAACAGAACGGAAGAATCAGATAAAAGGTAGAGAAAAGGGAGAAAAAGTAGAGGAAAAGAATATGTTAGTTAGGGTGTCGACAATACAGGGACAAGGAATTGCAAGCAGAAGCACATTTGAATGTATAGATAAACTCATACACCAACAATATCAAAAGGTCATATTTTAAACAGTTATCACCACTCCCCACCTGCATAAAATGAAAGAGAACCATACACGACGGTTATAGTGCCATTCGATTCGGTTCGGTTCGGTTCGGTTCGTCAACGCCAAGCTTCAGCTAGCTCTGTCCTCGAGTTCAACCGACCGACAACACCACTTTTCTTGCCTCTTTGTGCACCAGCACCTGTTGTGTGAACCTTCACTGGCTGATCATTCGCCTTCCTGCTGTCTTTCTTCAGATTCATACTCCCCGATCGATCGAGGCTACTCCTTCGACAACTTTGAGCTATCCCGACTTGGTTTGCGAGAACAGTCTCCGGTTCTTTATTCACCAATGAGTTCATTTCCGATACGATTTCGCAGGGGCAGACGTTTTCAATGGAAGTCAGAAGATTTTGTGACCCCGTTTTAGCTGTACAACTATCTAAACTGGGGCTCTCAGGAGCAGGTTCTTCAGCTACAAATACTTGTTCAGCTTCAGCTTCCTCATTCCCGACCTCATTTTGTTCGTCTTGGTACAACCGTGATGCACTTTCGTGCCCGTCCTCATCCGACGGATTCATACGTAAAACAGGAGCTGATTCAACGACCGAATCCTCTCGGTCCTTCAGTGTCTTTTCAATCAGAGTCTTGAGGAAGTTCATCACTTTAACAGCATACATCAAAGCAGTTAATGGATCTGCCATCTGCAAGAATAGATCAAAACTATTACACTTCAAGTCGAAGGATCTTTTGATACGATCATCATGAGAAAAATCAGAGCCTTGACTCGACTCGACCCAAGTACACAAATACAATTCAAGAATATCCCTTACTTGAGTCATGTTGGGTGCAAAAACCATTGCGACGTTACGAGCATTCATCTTGTTCTGATGTTCGAACTGTACAACATCGGCCATTAGGTTCACAGCCCAATCGAGCAGCGCAGCTTCCGTATGGGGAAGGAGTCTTGCTAGATCAGCACATTCTTCTTCGGTCTGTGCCTCCATCACCTGTTCGGGTGAGAGCGAATCCAACACGCCCGTCGGAAGTTCTCGAAACCAGGCCTATAATAAACGCAAAATCATTTCAGTTCTCGAAAACCAAGCTAATTCTAAGAGACAAGATGAGTGTATAAGAGGCATAACATAATCAAAGCATGTGTAGTACCTTAATAAGACCTGCCAAGCAGTGCACATCGACACCATCGGGCACGACTCCTCGATTTAACTGGTCCCGAACGAATTCTTCTTGGCTGTTTCCAGCAGTAATCCTGAAAATTCCTTCTGCCTGCAGGTTTAAATCCATAAGTTTCTACTCGAAATCGTCAAACGACAGCATATTGTGTATAAAGAAAAGCAAGAACATTCAGATACCTCCAGGCCTCCTTGTGTATACAAGTGTTTCTGCATTAATAGAAGAATCGTGGGGACGCTGTTTCCTCTCGAATCAAAGGAAAGCTGCATCGACTCCGTAGAAACGCCGAAAACATTTGCACTGCAGATAAAAGATCGCGGTCAGTTCATGATTTTAAAACGTGTTTGTTAGGGAAAGGTTTCCACACCCTTACAAGAAATGTTTCGTTCCCCTCTCCAACCGTTGTGGGATCTCACAATCCACCCCCCTTAAAGACCAAGTGTCCTCACTAGCACATCATCCAGTGTCTAGCTCTCCACACCCTTGTAAGGAACGTTTTATTCTCCTCTCCACACCCTTGTAAGGAATGTTCCATTCTCCTCTCCAACCGATGTGGAATCTCACAATCCACCCTTCTTGGATACTCAGCGTCCTCACTAGCACACCATCCGGTGTCTAGCTCTCCACACCCCTGTAAGGAATGTTTTATTCTCCTCTCCAACCAATGTGGGATCTCACAATCCACCCCGTTGGAGGCCCAACGTCATCACTAGCACACTGTTCGATGTCTGACTCTCATACCATTTGTAACAGCTCAAGACCATTGCTAGTAGATATTATCCCTTTCGGGATTCCCCTCAAAGTTTTTAAAACGCATATGTTAGGAAGAGGTTTCCACACCCTTATAAAGAATATTTTGTTCCCCTCTCCCATCCTTCCGAATAATTATCTATGAGCAATACATGTTCTTTGTTTCTTTGTTCAAGATGCAAGGATTTGAAACAGAGAATTAAAGCAATATCCATTGAAAACCCCAAAATCAAAATCCAATGACAACAGAATTTCCTTCATCAGTTCATAATCATGCTCATAAACAAATGAAATCCAAAACAGAAAAAGGGTTAAAGAGATTATAAACCTGGCACTAGGAGCTCTTCTGGGAACCTCAAGCTCAAACTCAACAGGCAAGCCAAGGAAGCCATTGAAGCGATCAAAGGTAACATGGGCAACATGCCTAACATTAGAAGGCCATCCAATTTCCATAGCACCTCTACCGCTTCCACTACTCGTACTTCTACACCCAATTAAAGACTTCCTAAAAGCAGCAACCAGAAATGTCAATACAGACAGCTGATCTCCTTCTTGTTCTTGTTCAGAACCCAAATGAAATTGAACACAGTGGTTTATGGTGGGACTGTTAATAAGGGGATGTGTGTGCACACCATCATTAGCTGTGGAAGAACTTGAAGGAGAAGGGAAGTGAGATGGGGATCGTTGGAGGACGTCTGTCATTTTAAAAGAAACCCCAAAACAAAAAGAAAATCAAAATCAAAAGGAATTGGTCTTCGATTTCGTTAACCCTTTTCAAAGATTAATTCAAGTCTACGAAAAACAAGATTTGGGTATGCAAAAAGAAGAAGAGTTGGATTGAAGAAAGGGCTTGGGAAGGTAAGACGTGAGCATCATCACTTTTTGTTTATTTATTGTTTCTTGGATTGGCTGGCTTTGGAGGAAGAAAGAAGCAAGCACAGCGAGAGAGAGAGAGAATGGTAGTTGAAGAAATGAAGAAGGAATAATGGAGTTTCTAGAGAGAGAGAGAGAGAGATTTGGGTATTTTAGTAATTATGAAGAAGCCATGGATTTGGAAGCGAAGAGGAGATAGGACTCTGTTACTGCTCGTCTTCTTCCTCAATTCTATTATCTAAATTTTCTTTTGTTAATGAAGGTGTTGATTTCAGTTACAATTTGACCTAATTACTAACCAATTATCATAAATTTATTCTATTATTTCTTTTATTTTCATATATTAATTTAATCTCGACAATTTTTTTAATTATTATTTATTAATGTATAGCTTAATAATTAAAGATAATTATTTCTTTTTATCAAGTTGAGAAATTTCTTCTCATGAGTGTAGTATTTGTGGAAAGAACAGGACTAAATTGTAATTTTAAAATTATTGTTATTGCCACATATCATCATATTTTAATAATTAGTTTTCGTAGAGTTAATATAAAAATATTTTTATTGATAAAACATTAATTATCCTCTCCCAATATTTCTTAGTGTAACCATGGTTGACCTACTAATAAAAAAAAATAATATTTGACAACAAAAAATCATTTTTTATACTTTAATAAATAAATTAATAAAAGTACTGTGTTTTATTTAAAAAATATCTTTAAATTTTTAAATTTTTTAATAATACTACTCAATTTTTTAAAAATAAAATTAAACTTTAAAAATAAAATTTACTATTAATATTTTATTTTAAAAATATTTTCACGACGTGTTTGTTCCCTAAGACTCTTTAAGAGACCTCCTAATATTTTTAACTTTCAATTTTTATAAATTTATGTTTAATTTTTAAAAAACCCGACATTTTAATCACAAATGCAAAATTTTTCAAATTATTAAAAATTAAAAGAAAAAAAGATAGTTGACTAGATTCAAATAAAAAATAATAGTTAGAAACTTAGTATTACAAAAAAAAAAAATGAAACGTTGAAAATGAGAGTATTATTAGAAAATTAAAATAATAATAAGACATAAAGTGTTATTTTAGATATTTATTTTTAGTACTTAGAATAAATAAATTTATAGAGAGATAAAATGACAGGTGGTGACAGAAGGAGATGAAAGCAATAAAAAAAAACCGGGCCAATCCGACGTGGCCACCAGGTCCTACAACCTGTCTTTACAGCGATGTCTTATCTGAATTTATAGGATTGACAAAACTCTGGGGGGCGAGATCACCTGCATCAAGGTCCACCAATTTCCCATCTCCACGTCACATCACATCCCTCCATCTCATCAAATCCTCGTCAATCTACATCCTATGTTTTTCAATTTCTCCATTAAACATAAACCAATTATTTGATTTCGACTTTTTTTTTTTTTTTTTAATTTTTGTTGTCTTCCTTAATAATTATTTAGTGGATTTCAAAATTAGAGTGTCTCAATCAATAATTGGAGATAAGTTTTAACCTCTAATTTTTTTTTAAATAATTAATTAAATTATGTGGAAAGATACTTCCATTATTTATAGTTAATATAAAATATATTTTAATCGTTTTGTTAATATTTTTAAATATTATTTGATAGTTAATATAAGTATTTATGAGAAAAATAGTTGTGATGTTATAATTCAATTGTTTTTAGTGAGGGGAAAATGTTGAATTTTACTCAATTACTTCTTTGATTACACTAAAATTCAAGCAAGCTATAATTAATCATAATTAGGTAAACTTTCACGATGATCATCTACCTCTTGGTGATGCCAATCAAATACCGTGTCATTATTCGATATCTTTTTTTGTGTATCGAAATTAATATCGATGTAATTTAATTAATGGGTTTTGTCGACTTACGAATAAGCATCTAATAATATTTTTGCACCACTACTAGTATTAGTAAAGAGACTCTTCGATTAATGAGACATCTGATAGGAAGGTCGATCACTACATTAGCGTCTAGGAGAGAGCTAGCTACCTTTTTTTGATCCACCTTCTTTACCCGAGAAGAGAACGAAAATGGTTCGCGAATGGTGGGTGTGGTGTTAAATAGTCACAATTTTGAAGGAATTATTTATTTATTTTTTTGTTTTTTTTAGAGATTCTAAGAAAAGACAAAAATTTATGGCTTAAAGAGGATAGGATGGGCCAATGCTTCAAAAAGGCCCATTATCTCAAAAATCCTCTCATTAAATTAATTTTAAAAAAGTTTATCCAATTCTAAATTTTAAAAATAAAATTTTCGTTTTTTAATTTTCAAAACTTGATTTAAAATTTAAAAATATTTTTAAAAAATAAATTGCAATAAATTAAAAAACATTTTTTTTAGTTTTTAAATAATCAACGAGGCCCATGCTTTCCACTAAATTGATATTGTTTTGAATTATTTGTGAATAAAGCATTAGCCATGCATTCATTGGTGGAGCTAGAGCTTATTAGTATAATATAATATACCCTAAATTATATATTTTCTATATAAATATTTTAAAAATTATTATTTGATAAATCAAATTACAAAAATGATTTGTTAGGTTTCTTTTTTAGTAAGGTTAGTGATGTAATATTTGAAGACCTCCATAATAATGTAAGAGAATATAAAATTTAAAACAAAATATAAAGTATAAAACAAGTCAAAGTCAAACTACATGCAAAAATTTATGACACTCCAATTAGCATGATGTTATATTTAGACTTAATTAGGTAATGATTGAAATATCCAATTGCAGGTTTACACGTGGCTCAAGATTATAAATTTTCGATCAATCAATATATGATATGACATATATTGTTTATGATACTGAGTAAATTTACCAGGAATATTGGTTGACATATATTGTTTATGATACAGATTCATAATTATTGAGCGATTATTAAAGAATATATAGATTTTAGCTGTGCATCTTATGCATTTCGCTTATTCCTCCGTCTCTCATATGGGTTTCATAATTATAGGAATTTGTTCTATAAGCGATACGGATTTACAAATAATCTCTCATGGATTTATCGGCGCTACGCTTTTTTTCTTGGCGGGTACAAGTTATAATAGAATACGTCTTGTTTATCTCGATGAAATGGGCGGAATGGCTATTCCAATTCCAAAAATATTCACGACTTTTAGTATCTTATCGATGGCTTACCTTGCATTGTCGGGTATGAGCGGTTTTGTTGCAGAATTAATAGTCTTTTTTGGAATAATTACCGGTCAATTAACTATTCATATCAAACGTACCCAAAAATTAAAATTAATGAAAAGTTCGATAAATATCTGCTAAAGTTCCAAAAATATCTGTTAAGAAGGGTGGATAATTATATCTCTTTCTTAGCGTTTAAAACTCTACTTAATTCCAATTAATTACTAAAAAAAGTCAAACCTAGATTATTAAACTAAAAGGTCAAACCTAGATTATTAAACTAAAAAGTCAACGAGAGTGGGAAGCTTTTTGTTCTCCATTCTCTTCTAGCTTTCCCTATAAAGTATAAACTCCCTCTTCTTCTTCCCCTCCCTTCAAGACTCTCTTTTTCTCTATTTTCTTTGCATTTCTAAAGAGATGTTGAAGAAAAGGATACCGAGTTTGAAGAAATTGGTTAAGACGAACAAGCATCGACCCGGAAAATGTATACTAGCATCAAAGATGGCAGCAAGTAGTGGTCGGAACACGACGCCGAGAGGGTGTGTGGTTTTGTATGTCGGAGAAGAATATCGGAGATTTGTGGTACCGACCAAGTTTCTTTGTCATCCACTCTTCAAGATGGTGTTGGATAAAGCCTACAACGAGTTTGGGTTTGATCAAAGAAGTGGTCTCGTGGTTCCTTGCAATGCTTTTGCTTTTCAAGAGATTTTGAATACTATTGAAGCTAATCGCGGTAGCTTTCACTTTGGGGAACATGTTCATGAGTTTGTTTGAACCTTTTCAGATGCATTTAGCTCGTGGTCTAAAAATTAGGGAGTTCAATAGAAAGTCAAATTATATTATTAAGTATGCTTAAAAATTATTTTTCGGTTTTTAAATATATCCCTAAACTCAAAAATCATCGTGGGAAGATATGTAAGAGGGAGTATCATATACAATAAAGCACCATGTTGATTATTTCTTTATTGAGTTCAATAACAAAAAAAATAGAAAAAGTTAGCTTATTTCTCAAATTGGGTTAATGTCCTACTTACGGAAAAGTAAACCATGTTGATAGGAGTCGACCAGACCTTCTTGTACTGAAAGGATAAGGTACCCATTTTACGGGCAACATTGTAACGTGCTAGCATTCAATTAGTTACGTCTTTGCATATCGTCACTGTTGTCACTTCTTAATTACTCAAAAAAATTCAAATTTTATTTTCTAATTACGAACGAGATGAGTCCATTGTGAACCATTAGATTACACAAAAAAGGGACACAAACAACATTTGCAAAACCTAAGCTAAATTTTTATCCTTCCACTACTTCTATAGCACCCACCAAAATTTTCTTCATCTGATAAACAATTTGGTTCATTTGATCTCGAGAGAACAAAGGAAACGGGTATACACATGCACAATCCAACTGACCATCGCGAATCATGTCGAAGAAGGCGATCGATGGCCCAACGCCGTGCGCAGAGGCACAACCAATATAGTCATGTAAGCCGAGGTGTTCCTGTGCAGGACTAAAAGCTTCAAAGATGGGATCCTCAAACACCGAGATCAGAGCCGTTCTCATGGACGAGGATGGAGTGAGGCCAGGATTTTCAATGGCTTTACACATGAGGAAGTTCAAGTCGGACATGTCTGAGAAATGCTTGTTGTTGTCTTTAGCGTTTGAGAAGGCAAAATAGCATCGTTTTGCGACATCCCACAGAGTGTCTTCAGCGGATAGATCATGCGTGTTTAAAATGGCCGAGTGATAGAATCCTGAAAGCACAATAACCCAATGAGTATCGATGGGTTGGTTCGATTTGGTTCGTTTTCTACCCAATGAATACTCAAATCACATCACTAAACCCAAAAACTTAGACCACGGTTCGTTAAAAAAGAACCATAGAAAACGACGGAGCC